TGGAAGACTGAACAAAGACAGGACTAATGAGCCGATTGGGAGCAGGTGTGAACAGAGGATTCTAGAAGGGAGCGAGGGAAAAGGAGACCAACACAAGAGGGCAACAAAGAAAAACCTAAGAACTCAAATACATCCAGAAAACAGAACAAAATAGGAATTAAACCAATAAAACCAGAAAACAAAGAAAAACATGAATCAAAGTGAAACTGAAACCTCAAAGCAAACTTAATGAAACCAGGACCGTGACATATCTCTGCCCAGTTCTCATTACGGTCCATCTGATCCACCTGCACAAGCCTTTATTTAACAAGCCTTCTAACCAGTCATCAGTGCCAGCTTCTTTGAGCTTTTGGTGAGAGTTCTCTAGCGTACCTAGTTGTTTCAGATTGCCTGTTCGGGACCCATTTAGTCTCTTGACCTATGAGCCCACCTGTTCCTGCTCTGATCTGTTTGCCTGACCTGTCCTCAGACTCCTGCTAGATTTCTGTCAGTCTGGGAACTGAACCTGGAACTGTTTCCCATCACCGTCCTGGTATTCCCTTCGGTACCTCTTCAGACTTATGATCTCCTGGCTCTGACTCCAGAGCATGTCTTCGAGAACAGCTTTGGCTTCGTCCTCTGGATTATCCTGCATTCCTTCGTCTGATCTCCTGCCTGTCCTCTAACCTCCAGGACTTCAGAGTCTAGGACTCTCTGGGTGGCACCACATCTTGCAGCCAGCCGACCGGCTGGAATCAACCTCCTCCTCTGGGCACAGAGTGACCAGGTTAGTGACTCACTGTTCATTATCATCCTCCACCAGATGGACCTGGTCCCTAACCTGTGTTCTCCTCCTGCCGAGGTTCCTAGATGCGGACACTGTTCCCTGCAGTTCAGTCTTAAATGAACGTTTTGTTAAATCTAACTGTCTTTTTGCCTTTAATCTTGGGTCCTTTTGTTCTGAGCCTGACAGGAGTAGTTAAGGTTTTTAATTAGATGCATTATTTGCACAAAGACTCGGGGTTCAGTTTACATTTTTTACTGTATTTCTTTATTTAGGATTAAAATATATATATTGTTCTGGGGTTAAATGTTATTTTAAAAATCAAAGTTCTGAAATTATTGGTATCATATTAGTTGAAAATTCTCTCCTGTTGGCAATTTGATCATTAATATAAATAATTTCTGGGTCAATTCATTGTAAAGAGAAATTTCTTTTTTCATTAGTTGTTGGGCTGTGTATCTGTATAATAACTGTGCTTCAAAGAGATTAAGGAGAAAATATGACTCACAACTTTTTTGGAAAATAAGCTTAGAAAAGATGTGAATATCCTACACGAAAATGTCCCCTTTCTGCCTCCTCAGTATATTTGGAAAGGGTACATTTGTTATGCTGTGCTTAGATTGTGCTAATTTATTTCACAGTGTTTCTAGGTAGATTTAGCATGTAAGGAATTTTATGTATCTGGAAAAAAAATGTTCATTTGAAAAGCAGGTCCTGCTGTGTTAGTGTTAAATCTTTCCTTCAGGGTTGCCTCATTGCCTGCGTCCATTCAAAGAGCTGCTGCATAGCAATAACTAAACTGTTGTACTGGCTCAGAGCCCAGACAGGAGCAGGAACCAGAGCCAGATTCTGAGGCGGTGAATGCCACTTGCAGAAATACCTCGGCTCTCTCTCTATCCAGGAGTTAAAGATGGGGTTAGAGCATGAGGAGCTATTCTTCAAATATAGCAAATTGTGTCTGAGGAAGTGGGTGTGCAGAACGTGATAGAGACAAATGTAAAAAAAAAAAAAAAATAGACAAGAGAAGAAAAGGAGAAAATGTGTGAAACATTAAATAAATGTGACAAAGGAAGATAAACTGAGGAGTACAGAGTGTGGATAAAAATGTGAATAAAAGGTGCTGTTCTTTTTTATTTTCCTTTTTTCTATATAAAAAATGCTCATTGGAAAAATAAAACAGCCACAATGCAAACCTACAACTGATAACTACATTTCTGTCACCAGCTTTTTGTTTTTCTTTTTTCGGGTTTATGTTTAATAAGTTTCTCTAAATGTCTTTCAGAAGTTTTAATCAGAAAGAAAAAAAAAGCAAAGTTGTGTATAATAAATCATATCAAGGAAAGACTGCCTGTAGTGATAAAGAAAAGCTGTCTTGAGACAATGAGGATTAAATGTGCACAATAATGGGCCATGGTGCTGATGAAGCATCATGAAAGCGTTTTTTATCACAGTGGGGCCAGAAATACAGAACGCTTCAGTGGAAAAAATGAAAAATAAAATAAATCTCAGCGATAACAAAAGGCGCCGCTGGTTGGCGAGACGGATATGGAAATAGAACAAACTGGCTGTTCTCTGCCTTAAACCTCGGGCTGAACTTCACACATGATGAATTATTTAGAGTAAGAGAAAAGCCCTTGAGAAACGAGGACAGAACTGATTCTGTCAAAACATCACTGCTGATTTACATATTCATCGATCTAAAAGACGAGCAATTTGCCATGTCGCCTGCTAAGTCAGCAAAAATGGAAAATATTGATTCTTACCATCACTCCTGATGTGTTTTGTTAAAACAGCTTAGGTAAATAAAGTGGCTCTGTGTGAACAAGCGATTTATTAAGATTTACAGAGTAGATGCATGTCAGTACTAATACTTCTACAAACTATTCCCCCGTGTGCAGCAACAGTTGGAAAATAAAATATTCACATCAGTTAAATTCTTCTGGGTTTTTTTTAATCTGTGCTTGAGTTTTGTAAATGAGTGTCATTCTGTTATAGACCAAGAACTTGAGCATTTCAGGTAAAATAAAGTTGGAAAGCATCAATATCCCCACAGTAAATAAAAAATTCACCTCCTTCCTATTGGGAACCAGATTTCAGTTCTTCTGTGTCAGGCAGACACTATGTCTACCTTTAAAACTCAGAATCATACGGTAAATTTACTCTTAAAAGTAGGGATGCACAATATAATCGGCCCCCTATCGGTACTACTACTTCTTCCTCAAAAACTTCTTTTTTACAGACTTAAAAACTTCTAAAGACGAGGGAAAAAATATTGATACATTAAAATATCCCAATATCTTCATATGCTGATATATTGCCATTTAAAAACACCATATCAATCTCTTTTACTAATGAAATATTGCTATATGTCATCGTTATGCTACGAAATCCCCCGAAAATTCACTAAATTTTGCCATATTTTTATATGTTGATATATTGACGCGGTATCTATCTATTTTACTAACAAAATCTCACAAGAATTTGCAAAATATCACGAGAGTTTGTAACAGAACGATGAAATTTCACCAGATTTTGAAAGTAAAATAGATCGATATCGCGTTTTTAAAAATCAATTTGATATCAGCATATGAAAATATATTTGAGTATATTATTTTTCAAAGTGTCAGAAATGGATAACAAAACTGCTATTTTCAATGACTACTTATTTTTGTCCAGCTTTAACATCGGTATCGATATCGGTTATCGGCTACATGAGTTTTAAAATATCGGCATATCGGATATCGGCCAAAATCCCAATATCCTGCATCCCTACTTAAAAGTATGGTTTGATGTTGGATCCTTACTAAATTCAGGGCATTACAATGGTGCTGAATATCTTCTTTACATAGTCCTCCAGAGATGTAATCTTTGTGTTTTTTCTGTATTATCCTGTTGGAGGTAGCCATCAGTAGATGGGTAGCCTGTCATTGTTTGGGACAGACTTAGTCAGAAACAATATCAAGTTAAGTTATATCCCAATAAGTTATACCCCAATAAGTTATACCCCAAATCTAAGCCTACCGATTGAGCAAAAACTGGTTGAAAAAACAATGAAAAGACGATTACGTTTGGTTGAAAAGTGAAAGGTGAAAAGCCATAATTTTCAGATTGTTGAAAAAACTTTGTAGACTGGGTTTATAATGTCTTTTCATCTTCTAATATTGGACTAAAGTGGGACAAAATCAGACCGATCAAACACAGCCCAATTTTCAATAACTATCTCTGGACTAAATCAAGGCTATGACTGACTGACAAGATTTAGCCTAAAAACCAATGTCTGACAGATGTCTGGTGTTTGGGGGGGTAGTAGAGGACTAAGGCCACTGCAAATGGGTCACTGCACCCCATGTCTGAAAATCTGAGTACATCTACAGTGCCTAAATTACTCAGACAAATACATTGGTTCCCTCTCTATTCTGATGCTTAGTTGAAAAACCCTCCTTCATAAAATGTCTCCTTGCGAATATATCTTTTGTGTTAAGCAAGTAGACAGGCGTGAGTAATTAAGTAGCTGGTGCAGTAAATTTATCTTCAAAATTAGTTGATGCAAAATCCAGCTGATGGGTAAAATCATTTAAACACTCCTCAGCAAGGAAAGTTGCAATTAGGTGTCCTAAAAGTCACTAGAAGTTGCTAGGTGATGTCAGCAACTAAAATGTACATTCAGGAATGCTTTAGGAGAGAGGAATGGCTCCACTGTCAGGAGAAAAAATTATTAGAAATACTCTAAATAAATAAACTGCTATACTTAAATATTAAAATTAAGTTATTCTAAGCATTCAGTGATAATTTACCTGAAATAAAACGTTGTAACAGGAAAATAATCAGATTTGCAGGTGATAACGCCTCTGAAATGTCAAACTAAATCCCAGTTTAGGCATAATATTTGTATAATACTGCTTTATATTATTGATGTTCAATAATGAAATTACCATTCTGACATTGTGTTTAAATTCTGTGACATTTTTATCCTTCTACCCTTACATCATCAATAATCAGCTCAATTTGCTTAAGGTCACACAATGTGAATGACAGATAAGGCTCCAGTTCTGTCAAAGGAAAGGTCGTTTGTCTGCTTTTGCACGATGAATGTGGCTGCAATTTAGATTATTCAATTCACACAGTGTTTATTGATGTAATATACTTGTCCAGATGACACCATGCAATAGATGTCATGAAAATCCTTGGGCACTGAAATGTTTTTGAGTTAGAATAAAGGGGAAGCTAATACTCTTACCCTAATGCCGAGCTCCACATTTTCTCCACCATAAATTTCCATGCCTTCATCAAGCAGGCCGATCTCCTCAAAGTATTTCCTGTCGACCACAAAGCACCCAATCAGAGCAGGACTTCTGAAATAGAAGATGAATAGAGAAAATAGGCATCAGAAAAAAAACTGCTTTAAATGCATAGCACTAGGCGAGTTTAAATGCAAATATTCTCTGAAACCCACCTACAAAAGCCTTATTCTAACCCACAATTATCCCACACTGGAAATTACACCCTGAGGAGCTGTGTTTTTATTCTGAGAACACTACCTATTCAAAGCTCAGGAGAAATGTTTTAGCGTGTCAGGCTGAAGCCATATGTGGCATCATACAAACAAATGGCAGTGCTGTCAAAAGGACGGATAAACATCAAACTGAACCGACAGAAGTGGAAAAAATAGCTCTGATTAGTATTCATGCAGTCAGTCCCACACATCTCCTCATATCAATATGTAATACAACATACTGACAAAAACAACTTGTTTGAGCGAATTTCTCTTCCCTGAGGATAGACAGATTGGCAAACAGACAGTAACCTGGAAATGCTGAAAGGAAAAAAGGCGCTCCCATGACAGGCTCTCAACATCAAACAATATCACATTAGGATCACAGCTCATATATAGACTATAGTTGGTTTTATTCACAGTTATCTGGAAAGCCAAAAAAAAACATAAAATATTTTCCTTACTAAACCAGAGGTTAAATGTTAATACAATACATTTCATGCCAAATATAAACATTTGTTAAAAAAGCTGAGAAGATGACCACCATTTGATTGGATATAGATTAAGTTTTCAAATGTGGGGATCCTTTTAAATTTTGTATTTGAATCTTTTATGTATGTCTTTTATGTCCCGTTAAATTTCCTCTTCTCTTCTCGGTGTTGTTGTTGTGATCTTTATTTTTAATTCTTAGCATTTTTAGTTCTTTCTTACTGCTTCCTTCTTCTAAAACTGCAACCAGTTCTGCTTTGTCAAATCCAGCTTTTACACCCTATTATAATTCGTGTTGGTATATAAATATGTTTTTACTCTTTAGTTTAAAGTAAAACTGGTTAAATGTATAATGGAGGATGTTCTTTTTCCGGGCGGATCATCAAACTAAGTGGTCCTCGTAATTGTCAATAATTCCGGTGATATGTTTACGTAAGGACGTCCTACGTGCTCGTCCTCATTTCCACTTACCGATGGTGAGTCTGACATAGTGAAAAAATTGCAAATCTTCTTTTGGAAAGTAAGCTTGTATGAGCGATGCAAACAGCAACTTTTAAACAGAGCGTGCAGGAAGAGAAATGGGCTCATGCATGCTCTCGCACGAGTTTAAGAGGCGTTCCGTCTCAGGAGCGGGTACAGGAATGTGCAGCTGCATTTTTTTCCTTTTAACTGAAAAGGGCGGGTCTTTTCAAAAATTCGCAAAAACCCTCTTTGCTTGGAAGTCGAAAAAAATTCCAGAAAACTCTTTTCCAAACAGTTGGATGCTATTTTTGCCCTGCTAGATATCAAACCCTCTCTCATGACCATACTGAGTAAATAAGGAAAAGTTTTAGATAATAATAACTCTGATTTATGATATTTCACATTGAAAGACTCTATAAATATTGTGTTTTGCAGAAAACTTTGCTTTCATTGCTTATTTCAATTCCAGAGTCAGTTTTTCTAATAACTATTATCTATCTTTGTGGTTACATCCCTGCATTAGTTTGTAAATTGAGTTAAGGCTTTATGATATAACAGGTCCTGTTTAACTTGCTTTGAATCTGTTATTTTATCCTCCAGGATTCATGTGGGTTTTATTAAACTGACACTTTATGTATCAGAAACTAAATTCAATGTCATGCAGGGGAATCAGAGTTCAAATCTAATTTAAATGGAACAAGCTTAGTAATCGTACTTCAGTATGCTTCAAGGTCAGTTAATAATTAATAAACTATTGAGCTTGTTTTATTCATAGAAAGAAATTCTTTGTGATGATTATATATATATATATACATATAAATATATAATACGGCTGGAATGTTCTCCGAAATGTGCAGAATTTTTTCTGGTTACCTGATGGGAGCTGTTTGGTTGCGTAGCATCCACCAGGCTTTTGGTGGGTTGAGATACCGACACCAGAGCTCCCAGTCGAAGCCCTGAGCAGATAGAGGGTACTCCTCAATTTCAAATGTGTCGTACTTGATGTTGTCAAAAGAAGGGGAAACCACTCTTGTCCTGTCCTCCTTTATTCTCTGTAGAATTGGTTCTGCCCTGTAGAATGATAGAGCACATGCAGTCTTTGAGAGGACATACCTGCATTTCTCGTGAGAATACACAAAGATAGTGAGCAGTCAGCAGAAATGGCTTCTAAACAGTGTAATAGGCAATTTAACGATGGAACAAGGAGGGCAGCTGTCCCCCCATTTATATAGGTGTGGGTGAAGAAAATTCAGTTTTTTGACCAAGAAAAAATGGGTTATCCTCCCACAGTCCGGCATATGTTTACAGTCCATGTTAATGCACATTTATTTAAAAGAAAATGCATTTTATAAAAAGCTAGATTTTCAATCTCCTCCAAAATGAAGATACTTTGATCAGATGCATCGACTTTCCTCCAGTAAGTCCCAACATAATCTCCTAAATCAAGCAATTTACAGCCTCGGATAGGAAAGATGGAGGAAAATGAGCTTAATCTAAATAGCCTTTTTCAGTGTTACAAAAATGATGCATCTCTTCTACTAAATAGTAAATCAGGGGGAAAACATGATTAAAGATTCTATGACTTTGCACTTTTCAGTAGATTGCAGGCTGCTCAGACTTGTATGACTTGTGACCAGTCTGCTACAGGGCCGCCAGCAGCAGCTGATGTACCGTTTCTGTCTTCTCTGAGGAAGATTCCAGAAACCGATGAAAAACAAAATCCTAGCAATTTTCTTCAAAGTAAATCTCTGGTATTTTTAAAGTTAAAATTATATATTTATTAAATTTTTTCCCACATTTTATAACATAATCAAGCAACCATGATCAACTTGATTAACTGTTTAAAGAAAGAAATCTCTCTACCTCAAATCAGTGAAAAAACCTCAGCACAAAAAAGTTGTTTTAAGTAAAAATTGACGGGTATCATCTACAGAAAGATTGGAACATGTGCAGACGTGTTTGTACGTGCAGAGATTTTCACAGGAGAAAAGTGATTTGCTTTTGCAATTCAACAGACTGGGTGCAGACCTTTGCTTTTGCCTGTGTGCTTCTCTCAGTATACAAATCACATTCTAATGACCAGACACACAAATGCAAACATTTACCATGTGCAAAGCAGTTTTCTAAATCTGAAAACTCAACTACCACAGATCTTTTTACATCTTTTTTGTACACAAGTATGTTACAAACTGATAAGCAAACATTTCTGCTGTCATTGTTGCCATAAAGGAGGCATTCATGCAATGCCAGAGGATGGAGAGAGATTACATGCACAAATTCAGACCAGTCAGGAAAAACAAGTATTATAATAGCAATATATTAATAAAGCAGGACAGCAGGCAATCTTTATACACCAAAATAATAAAAGCGAGAGTCTAAGAAAACTCTTAGGCTAAGAGTGAATTTCAACATTTAGGTATTTTTTATATAACAAAAATAAAATATCAAAAGAGCTGGCAAACAGAAAGAGAGGTGAAAGTGTGCATCTCTTACTCCTTGCAACACTTTTCCCCTAGATTAAACAAAACATGGTTTTGTTTTATACATTTGCACGTTTTTAGACCTGCAAACCCTTCTCTCATTTTATTTTTTATATTTCTCTTTAGGGGCTTTAATTATTTCTATTTTTACTTTTGTTCATAAGTCTGAGAGACTGAAAGAGACCTATATAAAGTGCCCAATATATGTTATTATTAAAATGTCTATTTTTAAATCATTATTGCCTCCAACTAAATGGCATAGAACCTTATCTTCCTTTTGCAACTTTTCTCAGCTGCCTGAAGAACAAGCAATCTGCTCATTTCCATGGGTGGAACCAAAACGGTTTATACGTCTCAGTATTTGGGTACCAACCTTTTTAGATCAATACACCTGGAATTTGGCGTCCCTTATTCTGAACCTTTGAAGACCAGGCAATAATAGAAGATGTACTGACAAAAGACGACTCAGGAAGTCATTATTACTATCAGCGAGATTTTACAATAGTGTTAGGGGGAAGCTCAAAATGTATATAAATGGTTTATTAACGCAAAGGTGTATTTTTTAGTGTATAAAAGCAAAGCTTTTTTCAGCCTAAACTGAGTCTTGGAGCAACCTAAGAAATGTTGGCAGACTAAAAATTTTATAATTATGGTAGAGTTTTTCGCGCTTAAATAAGCATTTAGAGAAACTACTGAATTCCCTATTCATGCTAATCGCTAACACCAATTACAAAGGTGTCCTAAAGCCTGTCGTAAGGTGGCCTTAGTCCTGCATGTTTTAGATCTGTCCTTTTTCAGCTCATCAGATTTCCACTGATGGTTGTTAAACATGCTTTTGATCAACTGCAAACATTTAAAACTGGTATATTAAAGCAGGATAACACTTTCAATATGCAGGATGCAGACGCCCCCCTTTTTAATTTCTTTTTTGTATTAAACAATATGTAGAACTAATACAAAAAACTGATGCTGTTAAAACACAATCGATCATTTAATATAATTATGTTTTATAACAAACTGAGGCAGGTACGTGCAATTGTTTGATTTTAATAAGGTTTTAACGATTTAAGAAAACAAAGGAACACTAACAATCAAACAGAACACCATTTAAATTGCTTTTTTAACATTCCCCATCAACTCCAAAGCTTTTAAACCTGTTCTACAAGGTTCATCTATCAATACATTAAGCCTTTACAAATCATTGATCATTATAAGGCTATATGCAATGTTTTTTTTTTACATGCAGGTAGTTCATTGTGTCTTATATAGATGACTTTATATTAATATTTTTTTTCAACATCGCTGAAAGAACACTTAATTTTCTGAAGGTTAAATTGTCAAACGGTGAGTTTATAAGGTGTAATGAACAAGGAAATGAAAAAGATGCCAGCAAAATATATCAAAGGAAGCCAAATATACTTTTCCAGAGAACTAGAATGTAATTTAGTTTTTGTTCTTCTTTTTATTGTTGCGTAGCAGCTGAGTTTCCAATTCTGGTCAAGTGCTTATCATTTCATTGATTGTTTATTAGACTTTAAAGTAAAACAGAGAAACAGTTTTCTTCATTGAATAACCATGAACAGAGAAGATGTAAATGATTCAGTGCAGAGTCTATAGATAAAAGTGCATAGTGAGAATGGATCAGAGGTGGAAGTGGACTCCTAAGGGATGACAGTGCTTTTAGAGAAAGGAGTAAGTTAGTGTCTGGAAGGAAAATTCCCAGGAAGATCTGTCTAAACCCTATTTAACCCTCTAATTTGAACCAAAAAGAGATAACGGAAAAATCTGAACCTCTTGAGAATAGATCTGGATGTCATGCAAGGATTGAGAAAATCTACACACTTCAAAGAGCAGAGTCAGGATTAGGAATATAAGAGATGACGTCTCAATCAGACAAAGGATCCTGTGGATGCAAATGTGAGAATAGTGAGATGGCAGAAGGACTGATTATCACATAGAGGGAAGATACTGTTAACGAAAAAAAAATAGCAAAGAAATGGTCCAAAATGTACTATCTTTAAACAAGTAAGGCAGTCCACTTCATTGCCTTTACAAGTAGGTGCAAAATTCTCCATCGTTTCAGAATCTAAGTAAATATGCAACAACACCAAGTCACCATGTTTCACAGAATCATAATAATGCTCTTTCAACCAAACAATGCACATTGTGGATTTTTGTGGCTAACAGGATTTAAATATACTGTATATTAAAAACCAAAAGTATCATTATGCCACCATAATGTGTTTTTTTTAAATTGGTGGTTAATTTAACTTGCGAGATCGGTGCTCTATATATAAAAACATAGTGAAAACCTGTTCAGTGAAAAGAATAAAAGGATGGAATTCACAATTGATAGCGCAATTATACTAAAAAGATGGAGTAAAGGAAAATAACCGGGGAAAGCTAAGAGCTGTTGTTTAAAAGAGGAGAGTGCTTTAAATGTACCCCAAGGGAACCACCTGATTATCGTCACTTTATTCTGGGTTTATAAGTTCAATGAGAGAGTGATAAAATGATTCTGCCCTTTACATTCAATTATAAAAAAACTGATTAATACAATACAGTAAAGGGGCTAAATTATTTTCTTGACTTAGCCATTGTTTAAAATGGATAATACTAGAAAATATTGTACGATGGTGTTGTTATCCATCCATCCATCATTTTCCATCACGCTTATCCCAAGCAGAGTCACGAGGGGTGCTGGTGCCTATCTCTAGCTGTCTACAGACGAAAAGAGGGGTACACCCTGGACAGGTCGCCAGTCCATCGCAGATAGTGTTATTAAATATTTAATTAAATAACTCTTAGACTTTCTTGTGTTATTCAGCAAACACACATCACACTGGCTGAAATAAAGGATAAACAGATGAGATTGTGATTCACACTCAATTAATAGTCAAACAGTTAAGTCTGCACACATATTCACAACTTTCTTTCAAAAGAAAATAAATTACTTTCCACCATTATTCAAGTCCAGGTCAA